TCGAGTGGTGCAGACCTTTCCATATCTCTCTGCAAATGAAATGAAAAAAATAAACACTTATCTAAGATAACTCAAAATATTTGTCATAAATATAGCTATGCATATTCTATTTACAACTTCTACGTATCCGAATATAAAAAATAATTGCCTGCAGTCAAGAAAGATTACGTGAAATCTTTACTGCCCACATATTAACACTTACCACAAAGCGTCAGTGACAAATGGCAAATTTTGTCGGTTGCTCACTAAAGACTCGAAATCTGTCAAATTTTTTGCTTTGTCTCTTTATCACAACCCGAATTTCTCGCACTTAATGCTGACGCTTTTAACTTTCATTTCTGATTAACAATTCCTCTTCGTGCTCCCTCCTCAGCTCATCCAGTTCCAATTGTCCTTTATACACAAGTTCCTATTTAACAATGGGTTTTGTCATTTGGAAAAGTTTGTTGAGTCCTATTACAATTGAAAAATATAATCAAATATTGCATAATAAATTCCAGTACAACTTTCTTTTACCAAATTACATTTTGGAATACATTTCCCACAATAGTGAGAAGATCATGAAAACTCTACACTCTGATGAATCGTCTGTTGGAAGAACGCTATCAGCTCTTCCTATTTCGAACTGGTTTCCACTAAGACGTTAATTGACAGACCAAGGAAAATAAAAAACTCCATCTCGTGGCCGCCAGAATGGAGGACCCAATTCAAGTGGTTAGAATGCGTCCATCAAATACAATGAAGGAAAACAAAACAAACATAACAGAAGATTCAGGTAACAAATTAATTTAACCTTAAAAATGGGATACTTCAGTGAACTAAATTATACTAGGGTAGGTATAATTTACACACTAGTCTAAATAATTTAATTAAGAAAATGAAGGTCTGATTTACTAGATAAAAACTAATAGCACGAGGTCAGAAGAAAAACACTTTATTCAAGCAAAGCAACAAAATCTCCAAAAAAGAGAACTTGATGAAATACAACAGTTGGTAAAATATATTGTACTGGTTTGACAAACTAGGTTTGTGTGGCCCTATAACGGTTAAGTTAAGTATGCCATTTGAATACTTGTTATATAACCAAACACATTGCTCTTATAGAAAACTGGCACAGTTCACTCATTTGAAGCAATTGAACCTAATATCAATTTATCCATATACAACGCTTCTTGATAAATAAGCGTTATCGATTCAGTGTTACTTCTAATAACCTCATGGAAACAACAGATTGATACGACGAAAATTGTTAATAGGGATTGCGATAATAGGTGATAAGGAGCAGGTGAAAATAAAATGGAGCGATTTTCTGTTATAACCAGACCCAAACACAAAATAAAAATTTTCATCTTTCTATTTGTTTAGAGATTAGCCGTAGGCCCACAAAATTTCACAGGCATACCGAATCATTAAAAATTTCGGCTTAAATTAGAATATAACCAACACTTCGCATAAGCTAAGGTATTATTTTTAAGACAGACAAACGCTTCACTGTGATACCAATGGCTGTTCAAGCTGCACGTTATCATAAATTATAATCATAATAAAGTAACTGCATGCATCGCTTAGAGACTATTTTCATAACCCTTACAGAATGTCAACCAAGTCCAGCAGGCGTACTTCTTTCCTGATATCCTACAAGTGATTTAGTATATGAAGTGATGACGGTCCGACGGTGGATTGACTCATGAACCTTTATCACACGAAGGATTATATTCTCATATGCTTCTCGTTAGAATAATAATAAAAAAAAAACATTAAGGTGAATGGGTAATGGGTTATCTCACTTCGGATCTGAGATAACTGTAACCAAGCAACATATACTGAGTACAGAGGTCATAATCTGGGAAACAGAATAAATTTGACATTACAACAATAAATGTCATGGCAGTCACTAAGATTTGAAAACCGTAGTATAGCAAAACACCGAATAGCTCAGTTCCAAAAAATATTTGTAAGTTTGCTTAATTTAATTAACATTCAGTTAGTGCTATAATAGCGAAGAAATAGTGTTCGCATAGACAAGAATGGAAGAGAAATAATGAATAAAACCCCATACGCTCCATTTTTTTACGAAACACAGCAAATTTTGTAACTTCTGCATTTTATACCGAGTTAGACTATTATAGACCATTTCTAACATTCATGTCTACGTAGACATATAGTGTGGTCCTCGAAGACATTATACTCCATGAATGCAATATATTAAAAGTTAGTACATACCTTTTATTATTCTCTTTACTTCATTAATGCTTGCATTGACATCCAGAAGTTCTTCAATTTCAGCAGTCTCCGAAGGCGAGAGTCGGCGATTGTGCGGATAAAGTCGAGCTGATTCAGGATCCACAGGATGACAATGTTTCATATCGTAGCTTACAATATGTAGACGACCATCTTTATACTTCACTGAGAAACAACTTCCACAGCCTATCTTTGTGGTGTGCTGATTTCGCCTTCGAATTGGCTCACTTTTTCGCGATCCGTAGTGAACACAAACATAGCGAATTTTCTTGTATTTACAGCGCACTTCCTGAGGATCAACTGTGTCGGAAAATAAACCAGTAGAGTATTTTATATACACTGATCCAGTTCTCTAGACCAAAGTATTAGACAATTAAAGTAGTAAACCTTCTCGAAATGCTTCAACCGAGCTGCCAATTCAGAGTAAGATCCTACAGACATGAGTGGAAAAGCAAGACGGAAACTTTCCCCACAATCAATAAATGCTAAAAAGAATAATTAGATATCATAATTTACCAGGAAACACGGAGGGATGAATTGCTAAATTTAAAGCAGTCAAGGGAGGGGGATGATTATGGACCAAGGAGAATTTTGTTACCCTAAATGTCCCCTTTACACTGCTAAAATTTATCGTGGAAGAACACGGCGATTCGTTTGATCTAAGGATAATTATAAGTCAGAAAAGTACTACCTACTTAACGGAATTAGAAGTACCTTGTACGTGTAACGTACAACCATAACAAATGTTATTATAAACCAAAGCATGCCGTCTGACATCATTTTCGCGATATCTTTTCGATCTTTTAACAGTATATATAAAACCTGTTTTCTAGACCAAGAAATTAATAAACAATAAGACCTACTTGAGAAAATTCACCTAAGGCAACTCTAAGAGATTCAAATGTAGAGAAATCTGAATCCTTGAAGACTTCAAGAAACTGCTCTGTAATATCATGCGATTCCTTAAGACTTTCAAGCTGGTCATCATGTAGAAAATTCCAAGAAGATTCTTCGAGATCCTCAGTAGAATAACTCATTACAAATAATAAAAAGACAGATGTGACATTGAGAAACCAAATATGACCTTGAAGAACACCAAGTGACATGTGCATATACTTGAAAAATTTAATATTTTAAGAACGCCTTTAAATAAATAAAAAATATATTTTTATAACTTTTTCATAATTATTTTGATACACGTCCTTCGATTTTAAATTTATATTGATGTTGTTGAGTTGAAGTCAAATATGGGCTACAGATAACTTGGGGTGTTTTTAAGATGGAAAGATTTTTAAAGGGATTTAAAAATGCACCAATACCTAAGAAGACTCTTCCTAATACCAAGGAATTTATTCCGTGGGTAGAAAAATAGTAGGTTTCGGCTACCGTTTAATGTTATAGTCGACCAAAAACCGTAGATGATGTCGCACAGCAAGCTGAGGTTGTTTCCGTTCTAAAAAAGTGCTTAGAAGGCTCCGATGTAGGTTTTAATTCCATTCTGAAACTGTAATGATAGCTTCCAAACCTTTTATTTCATGGCCCACCTGGTACTGGTAAAACCTCCCTTATTCTTGCACTTGCACGTCAGCTATTTGGGTAGGTCTTTTATCGTGTACTGATAAATTTCCTAGATCCCAATTTTCAGATCGTGTACTTGAACTTAATGCCAGTGACGAGCGGGGAATCAATGTCATCCGTGAAAAAGTTAAAAACTTTTCTAAGCTTGCAGTCGGTGGTGGCAGTGATGACCAAAACAGCTCATCTTTCTCTCTGCCTCCTTACAAATTGGTCATACTTGATGAGGCTGATTCAATGACAGCTCCGGCGCAGGCTGCTCTTCGTCGTCTCATGGAAACGGACATGAAAACAACTCGTTTCTGTCTAACTTGTAACTACGTAACCAGAATCATCGGTCCTATATCGAGTCGATGTGCAAAATTCAGATTTAAGCCTCTTGACAGTGATGTTGCTCGATCGAGATTAAGGTTTATTGCTGATGCTGAAGGCATTGATGTTTCAAATGAGGTTAGTTGGTGTCTTCTACCTTTTACTTTTTTCAGACCTTAGAAGACCTCTTAATCTTATGTGACGGTGACCTACGTCAGTGCATTAATCTCCTGCAAACAACATTTCGTTTTGCATCATCTGCAGAAAAGGATCTTTCCAGTAAACCAATATCGATTACGCATGAAGACCTTAATAGTGTTGCCACTAGAGTTCCCGCGACTTTTGAGGAAAAACTTATCTCATCTGTTTTGAAGAGAGATTTTGGTGCTATGCAGGCAGTCCTCGTTGTAAGTAGACGTTGCCTATCTCTTTCTAATCTCATTCTCTTAGGAGTTTACAAGAGAGGGTCTACCTGCTAGTCAATTTCTTTATCAGTTGCAGACAAGAATCCTAGAATCTAAGGATTTTTCGGATCATGCTAGGAAGAAAATTCTCCAAGAAATGGGTGTAAGTTGTAACTTACTTGCTCCTATTATATTTCTCTTTATAGGAAATCGATTTGAGAGTTATTCAGGGTGCTGAAGAATATATACAGCTATTAAGTTTGGGTTGTCAAATGATTAAGATGGTGGCCTGAACTGTGGATAAATCATCTGCTAAAGAAACCCCTTTGATCGATGTTTGATGTGAAATTTCACTTATTTTTTACTAAAATTATTGTTTTCTAAATCCATACTTGTAAAGATGGTTCTTGTAGAATATTGGTTAAGGAATTATTTGCCACTATCTAAATTTATTACTACAAATCTAATAAACAGGATGACTGAGCTCTCATTGGCTCAATAGTTTACAGAGTCTGGGGTAATGTTATTGAACTGTTACTCAACTAGTGAGCGGAGTTGTTAATAAAAGCAGTAACGAAGATATTACTTCTCTAAGTAGAATGGGTTTGTGAAGTATGGTTTCCTGGTGGTGATTAAATGCTAATTTCTCAGGTTTCCAGGTATTTTCTTTCGACCTAAGTTAAGTGACACAGAGGAAAACCTGTTTGCCTTAATATGGCTATGGGTTAAAGCTATGCTCCAAAATACACTGTGTAAAGATTCCTGCATGATATTGTGGTTAAAATGTACGTAATTTGAAGAATTCACCCCTGAGTAGCGAAGATTTCATTTGAGTGGTTTCTGATCCTTGCTTGTCTTTATGTTCTTTCTTGAGAAGAGCTCTAGTAAGCCCATTTTGAGAGCTATTTAGTGAAAAATTAACTTTATGCCAACCTTCAGTGACGGGAATGTGCAATTTCAGGGACACTTTCCGAGACAGCTTCATTTACGAAATTGTTAATCACATCAGGGGGTGTGCGATAGACTTACCTCCACGTGGTGCACCCTGGGCAACGTAT